GTGGCCTTGAACATCCGGTGTACTCTGGACAGGGCTCCCACACTAATCTGTCTCACAACTACAAGCACTTCTGTAGCCAACACCCTTGCATCTGCCTTAGGTCTTTGTGTTTTCTATTACATTTTAATGTTGCCACAGTAACCTTCAAAGAGTTGGGGAGTTCACCTTCACCCAAGCAGAGTGAGAGGTGCTGCATCCTGGGGCTCCTGTGCGGCTTTTTACAAGGTGTCTTGTTTTAATTTGTATCAAGACACATGCACCCTGGCCGGTTTGGCTCACTGAATAGAGCATCAGCCTGAGGACTGAAGGGTCCCAGGTTCGATTCTGGTCAAGGGCATGTACCTTGGTTTCGGGCACATCCACAGTAGGGGGTATGTAGGAGGCAGCTGATCGATGCTTCTCTCTCATCGATGTTTCTAACTCTCTATCCCTCTCCCTTCCTCTTTGTAAAAAAATCAATAAAATATATGTCTTTTTAAAAAAAGACACATTCAACTGAGCAGCATTTCACATATTGCATGCTATTTGCCTCTTTTCTCATTTTCTCCTGTAAACTGACTATATCCTGTGTCAATTTTTCTTTTGTTTTTTTTTCAATGTGTAAATTTCCTCTCTATCTTAAGTATATTAACCCTTTCGATACCTCTGTAATAATCTGGTTAATATTTAACAGGAAAGGAGTGAAAGGGGAGACCAAATAACATGGATGTCATTTATATAGCTTTACCCAAAGCTGCATGTAACACTTCCCAAGTCTGTTTGTCGCTAATTGCTGGGGGAAGCGACTGGACAAAAGATGCATACCCAGTGAGGTCTGAGTGACGTGGGAAGGTGCCTACCTGTCGGTCACACCTGGAAACAGGTAATGGCCAGGATGGGGTGGCCATTGCAAGCACAATACCTGAATACTTAAACTGCCAAGTAACAGCAGCTCACATTCTCTTCTCCCTCTTTGGGCTCCTGTGGCCGGGGATGTGCTCGTCTGTACGTACGTGGTGCAGGGCCATGCTGGACTCCACACCTGGACTAACAGACTTTAACTAGCCGGATGCGGAACCACACCCACTGCATCACAGGACGGAAGCTCTGGACACTGGCCTTGCTTCTGGCTCTGCTGAAACCCCAGTGCACCTTTTCCAGGACTGGCTTAAGGGGCAGAAGACATTGGAACCCAGGAAATGTAACTCCATGCCATGAAGACCTTCTTCCATATCCCATCCCCCTGTGCGAATCTTAGGACATTCATTTTCTGAAGATTTCTCAAGGACCTCATTCCCACTCCCATCTGGGAAATCTGGCCCATCCATTCCTCCAGCATCACTTTATCACATGCATAGGACATATTTTCTCCCATTTGCCTTTTGACTTAATCGATGACTTGTATCCTACTGTTTACTTTCATACTTATACTTACACTAGAGGCCCGGTGCACTAAATTGGTGCACAGGTAGGGTCCCTAGGCCTGGCCTGGAATCAGGGCCGATAAGGGCCTTCCTCCCCACCTGCTGCACCCCCCTGCCCCCGCTGCCAGCTGTCACCTAGTGCCTTCCTTCATTCCGCACTGCCCTCTGGTAGTCAGCACACGTCATAGCAAGTGGTCAAACTGGTCCATAGAACTCCCAAGGGGACAATTTGCATATTAGCCTTTTATTATATAGGATAACATTTATTTAATGTAGCCAAATAGTAACTTTTCCTTCATAGTTTGCCCAGTTCCCTATTCATCTTGCTTAAGATATTCTTTCCCATCTCTGTATTCTAAGGGATGTGTTCTAAGTCTCCTTTAAAACATTTGAGTCGTTTTGTTGTTGGCAGCTGGCCACCTGATCTGGTTGGAGTGCCTTCTGCTGTGTGCTGTGAGAGAGAATACAGACTGTGTGTGCGCAAGTGCCTCTCGGCAGAGCCTCTGTGGCGGGGCCTCCGTTGCCCATCTGGAATGTGAAGCCCCTCAAGGTGGGTCCCAGGGTTCTTCCCATGCCAATGCAGTTACTCAGCAGAGGGCTCGGCTCTCCAGTCTAGGGCTCCTTATTCATTACAAGTTAGCCAGCCCCCTAGATGGAGCACTGGGGTGAGGGTGGGGGCATCTGCTGTCTCCCCTCCTCCCTGGTAGAGAACCTGAGCATAGGGACCTCACACTGAGGGGGGGCGCTCAGGGAGGCCCTAGGAGAAATGGGGGCCGTGAGGGGCCCGGAGCTCAGCCTGGGGCAGGGGGTGGGCTTGGATGGAACGTCCCCACATGACTGGGTCAGCACAGTGCACTAAACTCACAGCTCAGCCGAACCGGAGCTGGCCTCCCTCCCTTCACATTCAGAGCAGCAGAAGGCTGTCCCCACCCCCTGCTGCCAGGGTGAGGGGCCTTGCAGGGTGTCCACGGAAAAAGGGCTCTGTAGGGAACACTCTGGCTTCCTCCCCCCAGGCCGCCCCCCTCCAGCCCTCACTGGCCCTGGGCTTGGTGGGTCAGCAGCTCCTGTCTCCCCTCTAGTGAGCCCTCAACCCCCAAACCCAGTATAAAGTCCAAAAGGTACAAACAGGCATAGCAACGCCCCACCCCCACCCCTAGCCACCTGGTTCCCGCCTCCAGGGAAAACTGCTGACACTTGCGGTCATTCATGCCTTTGAAACATGCAAATAAAATAGTGTGGGCTTTTTTTTTTTTTTTTGGCTTTGTTTAAATTTCCTATAAAAGTGGCAGCTTTGTGAACACACTTCAGCCCTTTCCTTTGCTGGGCTATAGTGATGGGTAGATCCGTTCCAACCAGAACACAGAGCTTCCAGCTTCCCGCTGCAGGTGCACTGTTAGAACAGTGTCTGAGTCACGGTGTGGGAATTCACGAATCAAATGTCCATCCCCCGAGGACCAAGGTCTGGGTAAACTGCTGGGAACGTCTCCAGGGAAAAGGCACCACAGAGGGTGACTGGGGGAGGCTACATCCTCAGAGGCTCAGAGTGTCACCCTTCTGGGGTGATTACCTTCTGATCCCTGCAGCTTTGTTAGGTGAAAGAGAAAGGGGCAGCTTTTTAATTTGAATTTAAATTTCTGAGGGAGGAGGGAGCCTGCTCCTGTTCATTTGCATTTCCTTTCCAGGAATATCCGATGGTTTTGTGTGGGACGCGGGCATTTTCTCTTAGATGTGTAGGAGCTCTTTATTATTAATCTTGCTGAGATTGGCCCTTTGTAATACCAGGGGCAAAGCGTGTCTTCTTTGGTTCACGGCTTGTTTTTAACATTTTCACCTAGTTGAGTTTTCCGGTCTGCCTCTAAAGACTTCTAAGTTTGGGGCCATATTTAGAAATGCCTTCCCTTCCCCAGGACTCTCTTCTTACCCAGGTTTTCTTCTGCCCTCTGAGCATTTCGTGTTTGGGGTCCTGGTGTGAAGGCCGAGGAGTCAGTCCCGCTCACCACTGGGACATTCCCACACGGCCCCGTGCTAACCTGGCAGCTCAGGGTGGCCTGTGTGGCAGCCTTACAAACTCAGGCCGGAAGTTACCACAAGGTATGGTGTGAAATTAAGACTTTTTAACTAAAAGCAGTTTACGGTGGGTAGTCATGGCCTAGGCCTGTATTTTCCCTGACAAAGGTCAATCCTGTCCTGAACTGAGCCTACATATTGCCTTTTTGCATCCATGATAACACATGTTTGGAATGTCTAAGTAATGTTTCTCTTTCCAGACCCCTCAAAGCACAGGCAGCGCTCTGCAGAGCCCACAAATCCCCTCCTTGTCATTGAGTTAATTGATGCCTGTTAGCTGTCCTGCACCCACTTAGTAAAAGAAAGTGTGTCTAACGTTTTACTTTTTATCCAATCCCAGAGGTTCCCCCACTTTGCTTTCTCCCACCCCCTAACCTATGGCCAGTGGAGTTCATGTCACCCCTCCCGCCTCCTCTTTGATGTAATGAATAAAACGAGTCAGTTGACATCACGGAGCCTTTCAGCCTTCATCTGTGTGTTTGGGGGGTTTTGGTTTGGTTTTATTTTTCCCTGAGGAGTATAAGATTTTGTGGGGGGTTTTTACACTCACTGGTAGCGCCCTAGTGGAGCGACAGCAGCGGCCCAGCCCTGGAGTCAGAAGTGGGGGCGTTCCGCCAGAGCCACTCTGACTCGCGTCGCGTGGAGCCACCCAGCGCCTCCAGGAAGGTTTGGGGCTCTCTGATCCTCCCCTGCCGCCCGCACCTCCCGC